CTAGCAATGCTAGCTAATAGCAACTACGTCAAAAATTAATTTATGCAAAGGAACAAGCACAAATTGTGTTTTGTTACAGGATACTAGTATATCGTGTTAAAGCGTGAGTTCAGTAACTAACAGCGTTGTGCAAGACTAATCATTTAGCACGCAGCACAAGAATTTACTCTGGAGAGCGAAGACCACTGAAATATGGTGGATGTTAGATATAAGGTCATTGGATTTTCGGATCCATGGGAAGCCATTTCAGTAGATTGTTATGATTGTAAGACCAAAGGTAATATGACAGGCCTGTGGATGAATGCGTATTTATATATGTTTTGCTTAATGATCAACAGGGATGCACTTGATTTTGCTGTGGTTAAGTTCTTTGTGGAAAATAAATTCTGTAATTAACATAATAATTGTGCTGGACCGATATGGTCATAATTACTAATTCCTCGGTTTCTATACTGCTATGCGCATTTGGCTAGAGAGACTGGGAAGTGTCGGGTAATCGTTGATTATCTGAATGTGATAAAATCCAAAATGAACTTATGACAATGTTTTCAGCAAAATCCAGTTCCCTTAATGTTGCTCGTTTCCATATGTATGATGGAGGCTACCCTGGCGATTTGAGACCACATTGTACTTATTTCCTAGGCATAGGCCTACATAATCGCCACAATGTTACGGGGGCTTTTAAAATTTTGTATAAAGTAACGTGGGGGTGAATGATGAACTAAAATAATTGTTCAGATATTCAGTAATGCTAGATATTGTGTCAGAATCATGCTCAACCATCCAACAAAGAAGCAGCCTACTATTTACAACTGGCAGATGACAATTAGTTGATCATTAGTGGATGAGCTATTCATTTTCCCCCTAATTATTAATTATCTGTTTGTGTAATGGGAGTTAAAATATGATCTTCAGCTAAGGGTAAATAGCAATCATGGGATGGGATTGGGTTGTTGGTCTTCGTTATCTTCACTGTGTGCAAATCACAGTGGCCTGAGTCAGCCAAGAAGGATAGATCCAAGAAAAGCTGCTCTGAGAAGCTTTAACTGCTCAGCTGTTACTTTTGAGTGGGACTACATGTTACATACTGTATGGCATGTTAAAAACCTAGTAAACCTGGCATTATAACACGTTAGTTGTAAAGGCCTCTCAGAAATGCATATTTTCAAAGCAGTTTTTAAATTGGATTATTTTTTTATAAAGTGTGTCACAGCCCAAAAGGAGTTTCACATTTGTCTTGTTCTGTAGACTATGAAGCTGCACTATCAGTTCTTATATAGTTCTTCTTAAATCAAGACACTGACCTCCAAGTGGAATGCTTTCATGGGCCAGATTGTGAACTGAAGGCCTAAGGCATTACATGCAGTAAAGCTTGGATGTCATTCGAATGATCGTGAGTAAAATTAGGTTGAGTAACAGTCTTTCCCATTGTGAGAAGGTCACAGGCTTAATCCACATCAGATACTGTATATCTCCTGTCAAGCTCTAGAGTACAACAGAACTGTTACAGATAAGGATCTTACTAAAGCTATATACACCGCATTTATAGGAGTATATGTCTGTACAATTTCTGTGGTAATGCATATGTGTAAAGGCCTTTTTCTATGTACAGAATGTGCACCTCAGGACCCAAATGAGAAAAAAATATTACATGACTCCATGAAACCAAATAAATAATTGTGACCTGGAATTATGAATGTTGTGTTTGTAAGAAACACTATAACTGATACATACAAACCAAAGCTTTAATTTTTCTCATCATGCTTTTAGCCATATTGTTTTAATTATAACATTTTTCAGTTGGATAATAACCTTTGCTGAGGTGTTTTAGTGGTTGAAAACCAGCCTATAAAACAACATTTCATTTAAGGTCTTTACCATATGGATTCATAAGCTGTAATTGATGTCATAGAAATATTGTCCCAGTTTTTCAGGTATGGCAGGTAAGAAAAATTATATAATTTGTGCACTTAATTTTTAAATTTTTGTTATAAGGCCTTAAAAATCCCCACCGATCAAGCTTCAGAGCATCTCATTTAATATTACAATAAATAATTGTTTAAGCCTGATGACACTGGTGAGTATTTTATGAATAGAAATGTTTGGTCAGGTAATGTGTGAGTATCTCAGTTCCTGAATGTGCGGTGTGTAGGCTTTCATTTTGATAACAGGTTATTAATGGTCAACCTGACAGGATTACTTAACCCCCCATTCAGCTTTAGTAAGATTGGATTGGATTTCTGTGGGCTGAGACAGGTTGGAAGTCAGTGACTGATTGGTTAGTGGATGTGAATAGAGGGTGGTATTAGGACACTGGCCCACTGCTATTGGCCAGTCAAAGGAGCGACTGTTTTCCCATCTGCCTCCTGCATCTCAGGGATAATCCCCTAGAATACCTCCACAGATGTTTACAACAGAACAGTAACCAGAGGAAGAGAATATAATTTGGATCTTCAGTGTGCAGTTTGTTACAGCTATAAACCTTAAAGAGGCTACTTTTTTAGGATGCAGTTTGGTCTGTTTGTAGTTTGTCTTCTTCATATTGTGTCTGTTTCAAGTACAGGGTTTTGAATATTGATAACGTAGTGGTCCATTAAAATATTTGCTGTATTGCCAGTGTTATAAAATGCATTCCCTGAAAAAATAGCTAATTAATAACATCTCATTGCACATAATCATTTTACAACTACAAGTAGTATAAATCAAACCGAGGTTTGTTCAATTGGAGTTTATTATTCCAAGAAATGTAGAAAATAATATAGAAATAAATTCACAGGCATGACATCAGTTCCTCCACAAGGGGGTGTATAACCCTGGACTACTTATTCTATGACCCTACACATTTTGGAAAGTTGTTTTACACAAGTAGATGCTTAGTAACTGGTAAGTTGTGTGTCAAAATCTGCAGTACAAAAAGGGACAAGTATAGACTATAAATAAGATTTAACACAATAGAAAATTGAGAACTCAGTGTACTGTACTACACCACTATTTGTGACACAAATTGATCAGTGAATACTAATAAAATGGTCCCCTCTAAAATTCAGAGAGATCTGGCAACTCCCTTGAAGTAACCGAGCAAACCTGCAGCAACACGTGCAGTATGTTGAACCACTTTATCGTGGGACCAGCTCATTTTCACTTATGGCCTTCATCATGGTCTGTTGGTCCCACAGTAAAGTGGTTCAACATACTGCAAGAGTTGCTGAAACTTTGCTCTCTTCAGTTTCTTTTTCCTCATCTAAGCACCTCAGCAGTGAATGAAGTTGTGCAAGAGGTTTTTGCTTTGCCTGAAGTAGCCATGTGATAAGGTCTGTGACTGTGATAAAGTCAAGGTGGTGGCACAGTGTGAGGAATACTAAGTATGTCTAGGCTTTTCATTAACTAGTCAGACCCTTACACTAGATTTTCACAGAGGGCTAAAACACTGGAAGACACATAATGCTCAACTACATTCCCTGGAAATGATCTTTTGTATATCTCAAGCTTTTCAGGCAAAGTAACTCATTCTTTTGCAAGATAAGTAAAAGGTTAATCAGCTTGACAAACAAAACAAATCTTTTCTGTAGCTGAAGAAAAAACAGCATTGCTCAATAAATTCACAACTTAATTTGTTTTATAACATGAAAACAAGTGAAGACATACATGTAGTGGAATTATAATAAAATGAAACACATATATTATGATTCAGCATGTACAAAAATAGAGATTCTATTGTGCCAAAATTCATCCTTATCCTGTTAGAATATATATATATTTTTTTACATAAAAGTAGTAACATGATGTACAAATAAACTATGATACAGTCATTTTTGGTATTACACATTTTTACAGTACATTTAACCGTTTAGACAACCTGTTTTATTAAATTTATTTTGATATAAAGTATATTAATATATGTGTCATTATGATAGATTATAATACAAACAATGAAGAAAGCAAGCAAGTCATCCCAGTGATGGTTTTAATTTACTGAAGAAAAGAACAAAGTGTCAGGAGTAAATGATTGGAATTTGCAGATAGACATGTATTAAGTCAGTAGTTGTAGGCATTTAAGTCTGAAATGAGCCGGAATCTAAAAAGATGCATCCCAAACTGTAGAGTAATCTAGCATACCAGTGCACACCTGAATTCTGTCTTTGTAAAGAGTGCTTCTCATTCATTCCCATCCACAGAGGTTTACTCAGATTGTCTGGTTTAATCAGAATGCCATTATCCACATGCACACCTGCTTCGTCCTTTGTAGCCAAAGCGCTACAGTGACATGGAGTCTTAGTGCAAGCTGTCTCACGGTCAGTGGTCTGCTGTTCTTGTGTCGTCTCCTCCAAAAGTATCTGGCTGAATGAGGAGAGGAGTCGCAGAGGTCCAAATGCCCAGTGTGCGAGTCTGTGGTCCTCCACCAGTGCATAGCTAGATGCCAGCACCCCATCTACAAATAAAGTTCCAGCTTCTGTCAAGGGCGCGTACACTCCCACATTCTCCTCTACTGAAACTGAGATGATTCGAGATGGCTGCACTTGACCCTCTGCTGTATGGATGAGAACACAGTCTCCTGTCTTGGCTCTGCTAGCAAACTGAGCCTGGTACTCACTGCTGTCGAGTATGCAGTGGGTGGCTAAAAAGACCAAGTGATGTGGAGTAAGGGTCAATGTATGGCCATCTTCTGTCTGCAAAGACAGAAAATTAGAGCAGCTTTCCTGGTCCCAGTGCAGAAACAAGAGGACTTGGCTAAACACAACTTGGCCTGTCCCAGACAGGGCCATGACTCTGTCCCCAGGAGCCAGTGATGACAGACTCTTCTGTCCCCCTCCAGCTACAGTCACCCGGGCCCAGCCTGGGAAACAGCCACCTTTTTCCACTGCAACAGAATGATCTGAGCAAAGATCAGGAGAAACAAAACATGATGACTACAGACATATCATTAACAGCATGATCTTCTATCAAAGCTCCCTCCTTCAACTTACCAGCTTTAACTGAGCAGTGGATGTGATATTTGGATTCATAGTGGACCCAGTCAAAACCAGCCTCCACAGCCAGCTGGGCGAGGAGGCCGTACTTCTCTGTTTCTCTGTCATCAGTGGTTATATCCACAGCCCGGCCTTCATAGTGAAGGGAGCCAGGAGGATGGTGACCGTCCTCATCCCAGGCCTCTGTCACACGTAAATGTACCCCTGGCCACTGGTTCATCACTGCGATAGCCAGCCTGTTCAAACAGTCCTTGCATCTCTGAGCAGAATGAGACAGAAGAAAGGTGTTCAGTTGGAACATCATTAATAAATATACAACAAGTAACCAGAAAATGCAGTACAGTACAATATAGTTTCAGGTCATTTAGAAAGGTTGTCTCCATTACGTACTGTTATTTGTCCAACAGAGATAACTGAGAAGATGCTCAGTACAATCTCGGCCACAGCTCTGAACTAAATTTAAATTAAGGGATCTTTATTAAATGTGTCTCTTTTTTGTTATACATTGGCTCCATTTTGGATTTAGTCCCAAGTTGGTAAAATATTTTTAGTCAATGCACCAAGCGTTTAACAAATAATGATGTGGAAAAAATACTCAACAACTGAACTGTGTATTACACAGAGTTGTTTTCCTCTTATTTATGGATATTTTTGTGTGAGAATAGTAATTATACTTTGTCTTTCAGTCTGCAGATATGTCTGAACCCCAGTCAAGGAAAAGTGACTCTTTTAATCATTTATTAACAGGGAAATGACAGCCTAAAGACAAGAGGAATGTACAGTATTAGACTCTGTTAGTGCAACCCAGCACAGAGCAATCCCAGTATTTTATCCCTGTCTCTGGCTGCCAGGTTATGATTGTTTGTGTGCTGGCATCATCACACAATTCCCTCTCTAGTCTGCTAAAGGCCATCTCAACTTTACTCAAACAATCAGAGTACAAGAACAAAGATACTGTAGCCAGTTTGGCACATTCCTTGGCCTTTTCAACAGGGTGACAGAATAATCAAGGCCATTCTCTGCCTTTCCAGACCGTTCCCGGCATGAGTTTCTCGCTTTCACCTCTAAGCATCTGATCAGAAATGTGCACAGTGACTCTGAACACCCCCCGTGGGCCGTAATGTTACACAGACTGTGTCAGCATTGTCACAAAATAGCAGGCTGCTAAATAATGACGTACACATCCAAGGTGAAGCACTCGTTATGGTCTGCCCAACCCATATTCACTTGTGACTTGTAACATGGCAGGTCTTGTGGCCTATAATTGATTGAATAAAGCTTATCTTGGAAAAGTAAGTGAGAGAAGGTGATGAGAGGGTGCGAGGGAGAGGAGAAAAAAGCAGTGTTGCAGAGTTGAGGTTGGGACTAAAGAGAAAGGGCAGAGAGAAGAATGTAACAGGATTGGACTTGGGAATGTGACAGCAAAAGTGAGAGAGACAGAAAACAAACTGGGTACATTTTTCTCGCAATGCCATTGAAGAGAGGCGTTTCATTGTCAGAACTACAATAGTCGCTTTTCCGACGGTGCCATTACTTCAGCAGGCGGGAATTTTGTATAGGCGACCCCTCTGAGTCTCTGTAAAGATGCACAAAGAGCGTCTTTCACATCTGGGCAAAAGAGGGGCACATGCACACGTACACACTCTCAAACTGGGCATCAGAAGGGCACACATATACAACCACAGATTTACATCACATACAATCACTCAGAGAGGGAAAGGAACACAGAATAATATCCTGAACAATCACAGTAAAGCCACAGCATCCAAAACAGAGCGTCAAAAAACCTTGTGTTCATATATTCAGTTCAATTCAGAATGTCTTGGTTAAATGTTGTGCACCTCCCTGTCCACTGAGTGTATCTTTTAGATATTTAGTTGCTTATTCTCAGTAAACAAGCAGGAATTCAAGTGCAGGGACACTTGGTAATTCGTGGTAGAGACATGGAGAACCTGCCATAGGAATAGTTTTATTTCCAAAACAAAGACGTTGGTTAAAGATTAAAAGGAAGTGTTCCTGAAGGAGAACTCAGTCTCTTAAGGGGTAGTGTTGAATTACATCCTGATCTTCTTATCTCAAGAAAAGGGAGGGGGAAGTTTGGTTAAAACTTACACACTCTGTGTTGAACATTTGTGTGCTAAGAGCCTGGAAAGGGCAGGTAGTGTATAGTATGGCAAACAATGAGTGAGGTTATGTGATTTGTTTTGAAAATGTCACGCTGCATTGGCAGAGTATGAGCTGTACATTGTTGTCTTTTCATAACTGTAGGCAATTAATCACCCATAGGAGTGACTGTCTAGAAAAGGATCATCATTGAGAGCATCTCTAAGGCAGTCTGCAGATGACAGCCTGTGTCGTTTGCCCATTTATTGTATTTAACATAAAGCAATCGCTGGGGTTATTGGAAACAAGCGGTCCACTGAATCATTCCATTTGACAAAAATTCTTAAAATTTGAGAAAACTGAACTTGGCTAACAATGACACTCCAGTCTCACCTTAGTCATGAAGCGGTCTGCGTTGGTGTTCTCCTCATCTTTGAAGACAATGTCTGGGTTGTAGTTGCACACAAGTTCATTGAAGCGCTCCGAGTTGCGTGTGATCTTGCCCTCTGCTCTCCCGCTGGCCCCGAGGTTGTTCTCTGAGAAGTTAGGGAAAAATTGCTTGTAGTGCATGGCTGTGAGTTTCCTGGGCCTGGGGCGGATGCCATACCCAGGGCCTGGTCCACATCCCTGGACCAGCCATATACAGGTCCAGGCAGCAAGCAGGCCGAGCTGCGCCAGGTGGGCCCACCAAGACTGCTTCATTGGGGAGGGTTGAGGCTCCCAGGAGTCAGTAGCTCACAGTGCCTAGTGACAGCCCAGTTCCAAGTGTGTGATAGCATGTGAATGAAGGTCAGCTCTTGGTCCATTCCAAATCATGGAATATTAGTGCTGATATTTTCTAATCACAAAAATGTACTAAATAATGGAACACGTAGATACTTCTTCTTCTTCTTACTGTATTCACATTTGTTCAGAAAAAGTGTTGACAAGTACAGAGACAGATGTCCTGACTAATTTTAAGCTACTGTTTTGATGACTGCCCTGACCAGAAGCTACAGCCCAACGAATGATCTGTTTGGCTTGGATGTAAAGTTTCTGAAGTTTGGCATCAGTAATTCAAAATAAAAAGACAACAGCTCTGTAAGGTTTCTGTCCAAAGTTTTCACCAAGTGTCAGCTGCGTCTACGTCTCTTGGGAACTGAAAGGCATCTTCATACATCCTTCGGAGGTACCCGTATTGGCGCAGGTGTTTTCACGGTTTCTGCTCACTTACCGCTTCTCTCCACGCGGTTTCCTTGCCGAGACGCACAAAGTCACGCACTCCTAAAGCCCGAGGTCTCCCTGACTCCCTCCGGTGCCTATGGACGCTACTGTGTCGCTCTCATCCTCTTTGTCCATCCAGAAATGCCTCTTGTTGAGATTTGATTTTTTTTTTCCTCCTTCTCTCCTTCGTCC